CACACACACAGGAAATTCCAAGAACTGCAAGGACATTGGGAGCAGGGATATTCATCTGAGCTACAGCAGTTAACTCATGTGGTTAACTAATGGTGGTTGTCCCAAATCAACAACGATGTTCGATTTTGGTATTGTCATTCCTGGACTGAAAGCGCTCTGTAACTTCCATATTTGCATACTCGTTTGCCTTGTCAAAAAACATTTGTCAAAGACCATTCAATCACTCAAGCTTGTCAAAGCAGATGAAAAACTAGGAACCATTCATGTTGAACCCAGCATTCACAACTGACAAGATGCCAGGGTTTGTATCTTCAGAGAGAATTTCTCAAAATCAAATTTCTCCCCATAGAGGGACTTGCCACCAGTGCTGCTTTGACATGGGAGTTATTACCCTGGTACATAAAGCCAGAATAATTCTGTCAAAGCAGGAAATCCTACATTCAAATTCTACTTCTCAAACAAAGCATCTGTTTCTTTGGAGCTTTGCAAACAGCTGGAAGGAGCCCTGGTTTAAGTGCTCTAAGAATACAGGAGGTTAATCACAGCTGGCAGTAGGTAGTTTTGTCCACAGCTGTAATCAGAGTCTTTACTCTTTTAAAATACACATTATCTCATGACTGATCGTTTTCTTATTTACAGATACAAAGTATGAAATACTATAGAAATGGTTTGAGAATTGTGATTTCCCCCTATCATGGAAGAAGATAAATAGTTGCTTTTAGCAGAAGTTGGGAGCTTTAGAACTGAAGGTCCAAGTGCCTAAAAAACTGTGTCACATAATGCAATGTAATAAAAAAATAAATAAATAAAATGAAATTAAAAAAAAAGAATTGAAGGTCAATGATTTGAAAACAGGCTTCAATTTCTTCAAGGCCCAATTGATTTCAAATTTGCCTGCACTCCCAAGCAAATTGCCATATTTTTTTTTTTTTAAGTTTCTCAGTAAACTTTGGAAATACTGCAATAAATTCTTGGGAGTTCCAGAATCAAAGGTCAACTAAATGGATATTTAAATACTATACGGATCACTTAAGGACTATGTCTGACCATGATGTTATTTCAGTCACAATACTATAATCACTAAATTCGCATCCCTTTGACTATTTACATCTCATGGCTAACTCATGATTCTTGGTCTGGCTTGAGAGGGAAAGAGAATATAGAAGAAGAAGCCTGCAGAGGGAGTGATTTTGGAAATTGCAATGAAAAAGATTTCCATTGGACATTATCAACACTGTCAAATGAGCCAGAGACAAAGTAGTTCCAGATACTGATTAGCGTATTGAGTGAGGAAGCAATAATGACTTGAGAGCAAATAATACATAGAATCGAAAAAATAGCAGCAGTTGAAAAGCAGTGCAGGCTTTCTTCATGAAAAAGACATGAAATACAATTTTTAAATGGGAGGAATTTTGATTAAGGAAAATAGTGAAGGGGAAATTTGGTTATTGTTTGCTTTTGTCATGGACTATTGTGAACATATTTATCAGGATAATAGCAGAGAATGGACTGAAGATTACAGAGGCAAATAAATCAATGGAACTCTGTTCTAGAGAACACATAAAAACAAGAAAGGAGAAAGATAAGTTTTCTGATGAAACAAAGAGTACAAAATTGGAATGAAGGAAGATTTGTAAATGACGAGCAGAAGGTGAAGGAAGGGAAAGTATTGGGAGCCAATTCTGACAGTTTATGCCTCTGTGCTCTGTGAAAGGGAAGATAATCCAAAGATGGACTCCCAATGAAATTGAATATTGTAAAAAGATGCTAGGTTCTCTGCCACTGTCCAAACCTACAACGTCAGGATATGCTTGAATAGCCAAATCGACTCATGACTGCTTTTGAATGACTACATTATTGTAATGATACAGGGGAAATCAGCAAATTGGGGGTACTTGGGGAGGTATGAAGGGAAAGTCCAGAGCCTATGCAACTGCATTATAAAACAAAATCTAAAAAATAAGTTTAAAAATTGTTTTTTGAAAAAAATTTGTTTTATGTTTCTAACTGTAACCAGTCCACCACCTATCCTTGAGCAGTTATTTTCTCTTTAAAATCTGAAATACCATGCATTTTATTGGTTCCGTAGCCTCTTTTCATTGGTTTTAGAATACAGAAGTAGGGAGCTTTTTCATACTTCCATAAGAATCTTTAACCTAACATCTGACAAATAATTCATCGTTTTCAAAATGTATTTTGGAGAACCTTACTATAAAGACTGCGTGGGTTAGCCACTTACTGCTATGGAGGTGTAGCTGGATAAATATTTTCCACAGAATAAATCATCCTGTCTTTTCTTATAAATGAAAAATCCAACAGAGCAATGACTATGTCTTTTATGTACCCCATCACAATACAGCATGTAACAATGATATCAAATAATGGAAAAAAAGTGACAAATACAAAAAAGATACTACAACCCAATTACTACTACTGATGCAGAAATTACACTTAAAATAACATCACTGAAGATTTTGTCTAAAATAATGCTAAATGCTTTACATGCACCATCTAATTTCATGCTGATAAATTTCAATTCACATTATCTTCTACTTGATTCACAGCAATCCAATTAGAAAGTAACCATCTTATCTTCATTTTAAAGTGAAATAGTTAAATCCAATAGATTAAATGTTCTTGGCTACATATCCAGTGATACATAAAGAACAATTCAAATTTATGATTTTCTGATTCCATAACCAACAGTGTAATTTAGTGTCCCCCTCAATTAGCATCTTTAAGAGAATGAGGAATTGTTTCAGTTGATTGTTTATCAAACAAGGCCTCTACCTTTACAAGACAAGCAAGAATTATTGGTTAGGTCAAAGCATATTGATGAGAATTAAGGAATAGAAATAATTATCCAAAAATCAGAAACGATGCATATACTGTTAGGATGATTTCAGGCTTGAGCAACAGCGTATTTGAGAGGGCGAACGCTTACATCAGAAAACTCGCATGTGACAAATCCAGAAAGCAATTTTAATTTCTTAACCAGCGGGCTACATTTCATTGTGTACTTTTGTTGTGTAACTGACAGATTATGGGAGAAGAAAGTACTGTTGATTTCTAGTTTGAGTATATTGAGAGAGAGAAAATATAGAACGGTATTTTCAATTAAGTGTCAAAGAAGTTTGTGAGAAATTTTATGACAAGTTTATATACCATGAGCAGTATTTCTCCAATAGTCAATTACTGAGTTCTCCAATGGTTTGGGGCATCTATGGCACAAATACAACTTAAAATTTTTACATTGAAAATTTTTTTTTTTCACCATTTCTGCATCATCATGTGTATAAGCACTCATTATTTGAAAACAGGAAGCTAAAGACAGGTGAAATTGGATAAAGTAGCACTAAAGTAGTTATGCTTATTATACAATCCAGCTTCTTTAGATATGGTGTAGAAGATAGAAATTGCCTCATTCAACATCAAACATATGACATCAAAAATATGGTTGATCACATCATTATCACTAAATTTGTAAGTGCGCTATAAAGTCTTTTTTATATCTTAAAGCTTATCCCTTTCTACTATACAATATTTTTTAAAAAATGCATTGCATGCAGTAGCAATCACAAAAGCAAAATTAAGAAAATAAAGATTAAAATACAGTTTACAGATTTTATTAAGATGAATTCCTTTAAAGATTTATTATTTTTATTAGGAAGGCAGATATACAGAGAGAAGGAGAGACAGAGAGGAAGCTCTTCTGTCTGATGATTCACTCCCCAAGTGACCACAATGGCTGGAGCTCAGCTGATCCGAAGCCAGGAACAAGGAGCTCTTCCAGGTCTCCCACGCAGGTGCAGGGTCCCAAGGCTTTGGGCCGTCCTCGACTGCTTTCCCGGGCCACAAGCAGGGAGCTGGAAGGGAAGCGGGACTTCCGGGATTAGAACCGGCGCCCATATGGGATAACCACTGCACTATTTATCTGAAAGGTTCTAGCAAGGTTTAGGTTACAGGAGTACACGCCAATATTATCTAATATTTATTTTTTGGAATGTAATTTGGTTCACAAATTAATGGTATTTTATTTGGCATAAAAATTTTGCATATCATTGTAAACAGAGAAAGGATAGGAGTACAAAGAGAGAAATGTAAAAGTTTTTTAACATTTCCTCCCGAATGGTTGTCATTTAATATATGCATACTGAATTAATATATTTATATATTCTTTATTTCAGCTGTTGTTATCCACTAATAACTCTCATACTTTTGGAATGAGAAATTTAAAAAGATAAAATGATTTTTTAATGTGTGCTGTATAGATACACAATTATCCCTGGCTTTTAATTCAAAATGACAATTAGGAACAATAATTTATAAACCATTGGAGACATGTAATGTTTTGCAAGGACTAAAACAAATGATTTTCAAACATTTGAAAGTGAATTCTGTGATATATTTTTATAAATCTAACTAGACGTACTGTATTCTCATATGACAATAATTTTAAGATGTGAACTTATGAACAAATTACATCATACATTACATGGAATAGAAATATATATTACATATGATTAATTTCTCTCAAAAATCCCAGAAACTTCAAAGAGAACACAGTAACTAATTCAACTTTAAAAGCAAATTGAATAAGGAAAATAGAAATACCCAGCAAAACTGTGTAGGTATTAAATTTTATTTTTGAAAAAAGATTGTATTGGGCCCGGCACGGTGGCGCAAGTGGTTAAAGGTCCTCACCTTGCACGCCCAGGATCCCATGTGGGCACCAGTTCTAATCCCAGCAGCCCCGCTTCCCTTCCAGCTCCCTGCCTGTGGCCTGGGAAAGCAGCAGAGGACGGCCCAAAGCTTTGGGAACCTGCACCCACGTGGGAGACCCGGAAGAGGCTCCTGGCTTTGGATCGGCATAGTATCAACCCGTTGCGCTCACTTGGGGGGTGAATCATCGGATGGAAGATCTTCCTCTCTGTCTCTCCTCTCTGTATATCCGCCTTTCCAATAAAAAAAACAATAAAAATAAATCTTTAAAAAAAAAAAAAAGATTGTATTTAAAAGGCAGAGTAACAGAGAGTCGGAGACCTGGAGTTACGTTTCATCTGATAGTTCATTCGTGAAATGGCTGCAACAGATAGGGCTGGGCCAAGTCAAAGCTAGGGGGCTTCAATTTCATCCCAGTTGCCACATGCATGGCAGGAAACCAAGTTCATGGCCTTCATTCGCTTCCTTCCTTGGTGCATTATCAGGGAGCTGGATCAGAAATAACAGCTGGTACATGACCTGGCATTGAGATATAAGATACTTGAGTTGCAGGTGGTAACATAAGGCGCTGCATTCTTAGGTGATCTACTGAAGACTGTCAAGAACGATTACACTAGAGACACTGACCTATATAAAAATAATTCACAAAGGCAGTTAATACAGAGATTCAGAAATATTTTATGAGCGTTAGCAATGCAAATCACGTTTTTATTTCCAGTTTGCCTGAACGTTTGTAAACCACTTTTTCAAAGTATATCACTTGGAATTTATTCATGTTTACATTATTTCCCATAGAAGAACAAAAAGCAAGCAAGAATGATTATAAATAAACTAATTCCAGAAAACAACTACACTAAAGCATTTCATAATAATTTTGTTTATTGTATATATTTGCAGAAATTTTCTGCCAGAGTATTAGCTTTCTAAGGTTGACACATAATTGACCACAATCAGAGTGGCTTAAAACAGAAATGTTCCTATTACTATTCTAGAGGGTAACATTCCAAAATCACGATGTCCAGAGGATACAGGATCGGTTCTTACTAGATGCATCCTGATGGTGCTTTTCTCCAACCTTCTGGTGCTGAGTTGCCAGGAATCTGCAGTGTCTTTTGCCTCGTGAGACCAATAATTCTGACTTCTGCCTCCTTCTTTTCATGACAGACTTCCCTATTTCTGTTTGTCATAAGGGTTATAGTCACATTGGATTAAGAGCCTGCCTCTTCCAGGAGGCCTCATTTTAACAAGGACAGTATTTTCAAATCAGCTTATCAATCTTGAGTTTCTAAGGACATAATTTTTAGGGACTCCTTCAGGTAGGATTTGGGTAATTAACTCGGGTATAGTCACTTGTTTCTTTTTTCTGTGTTCCCAAATCTGATTTCACTGCAAGATTGTTCAGATTTAAAGAAAATCTACAAGGCAAGCATTTGGTCCAGAGGTTAAGATGCCTGGAAGGAAATCCATGTCCCATAGCTGAGTGTCTGGATTCAATTTCTACTTCTGGTTCTTGATTGCAGTTTCTTGCTAACACAAAACTGTGTCTCTTAACTAACATTTAAAATAGTTAAATAAATATCATAAATTACAGTGCCAAACAGGAATGGCTATCTATGTTAAATATTATAGAGGTAGACAAAAATGAGGTTAATTCATCCATTTTACTTTTGTAAAATTTTCCATGTATGTCTGCTGAATATAATTCACTTAATCAATTTAGAATAAGTAATACGATTATAAGGATAACTACTTAATATATATTTACATGTGCTTCCACCAACATAACTTCTCGCCCTCCTCCTTCATCCTCATATATTCTCTTACCTTTCATATTGTTCTCAAGGCTGGTCCCCTTCAGTAGAGTGAATCCTCACTTTTCCAGTGCTGTGCACCATCTCTTTGTAGTATCTACTTCTCTGTCCATCTGACAGCAGTTTTCATCATTTTTTCCTCATCATTCTTCTCTACGAGACTATTCGCCCCATAGCAGACAAGCACTGCCTGTCATGTGTACTGTACTTACCTTCGTTTTTCAAATGGCAAGTTCAGTATTTGCTGAAACTGAATAAATTACGCATAGAAAGGTGACACATAAATTATGAATCAATCTTAAGAATTTGCCAAAGAATTCTCTACCAAACACATCTCTCTCTCTCCTGAACACACATTTTATCCTACTGCAGTTATTATATCTAAGTGTTAAGAGAACACTTTTTAATAAATGAACTAAATCAGTTTTCTATTTAAACAAACTATTCTATCTAAAAGTATTCATTGTATTATGTATTTGAGAGGCCAACAGGAAGAGTGAGAGAGTGAAACCATGAGAAAACACTGCCAATTGTTGGGTAATTTCCAAGCCAGGCTGAAGCCATGACTTTGAAAGTAAAGTCAGGTGCCATTCATATGTGACAGAAACCCAGTAACCCAAGAAATTACAAGTGCTTTCCAGTGTCCATATTAGCAGGAAGTTTGACGCAGTTGAAGCCAGGAAGTGAACCTAGGTACTCTCTGTGAGATGAGGCTGTCTCAACTGCTAACTTAAATGTCAGATCAATGCATGGATACAGTTAAAACTAAATAGATTTTAGTGAAACAATTGTCTGTGAGAGTTGTTAAGAGTAATTTTACATTTTACTTTGCCAACATATGTAGAAGTGATAAATGTCATACTGAAAAGTATCTATTAAAATAAAGAACTACAAATTCAATTAGTGAAATCTACTAATATAATGCATTTTTTAAATATTTGAAAAAATCTTTTAAAAATTATTATTTATTTGAAACTCAGAGTTACAGAGAGGTAGACAGAGTGCTTTCATCCACCGGGTCACTCGCAAAGTGGTTGCAATGGCCAGGACTAATCCAGGACAGTCACAGGAGCCAGGAGTCAAAAGCTTCATCCAGGTCTACAATGGCAGGGTCCCAAGCACCTGGACAGTCCATTTTCTCTGCTTTTCCCAGGCCATTATCAAGGCGTTGGATCAGAAGTAGAGCTGCTAGGACGTGAACTGGTATCCATGTGTTACCCATATAGTATACATATTGGTATTGTAGGTGGTGACTTTATCAGGTATGCTATGATAACGGCCCCAATATTTGAAAAGTTAAAATTTGAATAAAGTACATATCTGCAAAAAGATATGCCTATTAATTATTCAGAAATAGGTAAATTAAAATTAGGTCCGTGATCATCATTTTTGCTACAGAAAGTCTACCATGAATCTTAATAACTAAATTCAGAATCTAGGGCATGCAAATGTTTATAATAGTTTTTCTTTGGATAATTTGAGATAAACATAACAATTTTTTTTGACTTCCCATAATACAAAGATGAACACATTTTCTGAGCGTTGACATGATGTTGAGTTAAATTTTCTGTTAAGCTAATATTTTTAAAATTTCTTTCTGAGAAAAAATGCTAAATACCATTAATCTCTACACTCTTACATTTTAAGCTCTATACAGTTATTCTGGAATAACTAAAACTTGAAGATTAGATGATGGTGCTTTTCTCATAATTTGATAGCTGCTCTAAGCTTAGCTGAGCGTCCTCTGGGGTTTTCCTGTACATCTTGATCCTCCGGAGTAAGTACTTTCTTGTTTATCAATTCCCACATTAAAGGAGCTTTTCCTGCAGGGACTTCTGAGCTCAATTGTGAGGCCTCTGCCACCTTCTGTTTAACACTTAAGTTAAACCTTTCTGTCATGCTTATCCCATGTAAAAATCGTTTGACAATGCGATCCTCTAGTGAATGGAAAGAGAGGGCAACAAGGCGACCACCAGGTTTCAGAAACTTCTGGGCTGTCTTCAGTCCTGCGTAGAGTTCATTGAGCTCATTGTTCACAAATATGCGAAGGGCCTGGAAGGTCTTGGTAGCAATATGTGTAGATCGCTGTAGCAAGTCTTTTCGTGCATAAATAGCAGAGGGAGGAAATGCACCTAGGAATAGATTGTGTAAAAACAGAGAAAGTGGGCAGTTCACATTAATATGTTCCACTAAACATATGGGGTTTCACAGTGTGTATATACATACAAGTATCCAAGGAATTAAATTTTCTTATAAAATTATGGCATCTCATTCACGCATCTAATAAAGCATTATAACAAAGTTTAAAAGGATCTGTCAGAAATACATTTGAAATGTTATTTAGTGAAATCAAAAAAGCAGTGAAAGACAAAGGGTAAACAAGTATGAAAAGAATTTGTATACCCATGATAATCACATTTTAATTCAAAATTGCTATGATACGAAAACAACCCAGATGTCCATCAGCAGATGGCTGAATAAAGAAAAGGTGGCTAATATACACTATGAAATACTACTCAGCCATAAGAAATAACACAATTTTGTCTTTGACCATAAACTGGATTGAAATAACCATTATGCTGAATGAAAGAAGCCAGTCTCGAAAAGGCAAATATATTGTTTTCTGCTGTGTAGTAACTTATACACAGGTTACAAAGCAATGTATCCAATATGAGCAAGACTGACATTTTGAGATTTGATTATTGTTTATTTCTTTTCTCTATACTTCTGAGGAACAGTGTATTTTTTTTTCTACTTACTAGTTGCTGAAATTTTTAACCTAATGGAGTATTAAGCCTGTGTGAAGTGAACAGAAAGTATGCCATTTAGGGAAAAAAAAAAGGAAGAAGGTGAGTGGCTTGAAGTATCACTGTGATCTGCATTATGCAATATATGAAATTTGTTTATTCAATATAAAGTAATATTTATTTACGTTTTATACTTACACATATACATATTTTACATATATATATGAAATAACAACTCAACCTTTGAAATTTGGTGAAAAGCACTGAATATTATTCATAGTTGAAATGAGTTAAAGAAACCATAAATAGAATAAACCAGAAAAGTGCACCAAAACATACCATTAACAAACTAGTACAAGCCAAATGCACCGAAACATACCATAAACAAACTAATACAAGCCAAATTAAGTGAAAATTAAAGAAAAATAACACACTATATTAAGAACAAAATGATTGACAGTTAATTTCTCACTAGCATAAGAGAAACTATAAGACAGTTGAGAACAACAACAAAAATGTCAAAAAGGCTATATTCCCTAAAACCATTCTTCATAAATAAAGGTTCAAAGATATTTTTAAAGGAACAAAAAGTAAGAAGTCATTGCTAGCACATCTGCATTGAAGCAATACCAAAGGAAATGCTGCAGGCTGAAATAAAAAGAAGCCAAGGGATAACTCACTTAGTCAGGAATAAAGAGATAAGTTTTTCATACATAAGATAATACGCATGATAAACATTACCTATCTATTCATTCGTAGATTTTCTATGATAAGACATACAATAAGTGACAATAGCAGAAAGGATGAAAGTGAATACATGGATCTATGTATACTGTTGCAAGATTCATATATTTTACTGGAAGTGAAATTTGCCTGTTATGGTCTCTAGACAATACTAATGCAAAGAAATAAAGCTAACTAGCTTATGGAGATGAAAAATAGTCCATAAAAATTTAAAAAAAATTTATTTAATACAAAAGAGAGCAGAATTGAAAGACAGCAAAACAAAACAGTGACAATCAAAGACAATAAATCCAAATGTCAATAATTACAGTGAAAATGCACTATCTGACCCAATAAAAATGTGCAGTGTGAGCTAACTATTAAGGCATACTGGGATAAACCACTGCCTGCAATTCTGGCATATCATATGGGTGAACATTTATATCCTGGCTGCTTCACTTCTGATTCAATTCCCTGATAATACTCCAGGAAAATCAGAGGGAGGATGGCCCAAGTATTTATTTAGCTGCTGTAGTAATATGGAAGACTCGGATGTAACCCCTGGTTTTGGCGTGGGCATTCTAACCACTTGCACAGTGAATAAGCAGATGGAAGATCTCTCCCTTTGTCTTCCCTTCTTTTCCCATAACTTGAGCTTCAAATAAATAAGTCTTTCAAAAAACATATAACTGAGTCAGCATTGTGACATAATTGTGATTGTATGTTGGTTTCCATTTGGGTGTGGGTTCATGTCCTGACTGGTCCACTTTAAATCCACCTCCCTGTTTACAGCCCAGGAAAATCAGAGGAAGATGGCCTAAGTGCTGGGGCCCTATAACCCATGGAGGAGACTCAGATGAAGTTTCTGGTTCCTGGCTTTGGCAAGATTCAGCCATGGCTGCTGTAGGCACTTAAGGAATGAATCCTCGGGCAGAAGATCTGTCCCTTTTTCTTTCTCTCCCTCCCTGTAACTCTTTCAAATAAATAATTATTTTTTTAAAAAAGAACAACTCAGTAATAAGAACTCAGTTAATTTACTTGAAATATGGATAAAATTTTAAAATATACATTTCATAAAAGGCATAGAAATAGTAAAAAAGCATATGAAAATGTATTCTACATTATTAACATTTACAATAAATTAGAGTTAAAAAAAACTATATACACATTGAAATGGAAGTGCTGAAACTGTTTAAGGATACATGTATTATCTGAATAGTAAAATAAACAACAAACAAAAAAACTATGCAAATGAAAACTCCAGACCCAAAAGGCTTCACTGGTGTTTTCCACGAGAAAGAAATTATAGACCAACATTTCCTACAAGTGTGAATATTAAATATTAAACAAAGTTCTACTAAGTAAAATTCAGCAACAGATTGCAAGGATTATGCACCATGACCAACTGAGATTTATTTCTGGAATACAACTATGATTCCACAAAAAAACTGATCAATGAAATAAATCAACAAAAAGAAAAGAAATCCCACATGATCATCTGAATTGACGCAGAAAATGGTATTTGACAAAATTTGGATCTCTTTTGTGTATGAAAAAAATTCTCCATAAAGTATAATTATAAAGAAACTATCTCAAAATAATAAGGGGATTATTTTTAAAAATTCACAGATAACACTACCCTCTATAGCAACTTTAAGATTAAGAACAACACAAGTAATACCCTCCTTCTCCAATTAACAATAAACAGATGAGGGTACTTCAAAACATTTGTTGAAAATGTAATTTAAAATTCTGACACAAAAATATAAAAATGTATATTTCCACAGTATTAAAAGATCAATCATACAAGAAAAGGAAAAACAGGCAATCAGGTTAGAAAAGAAGCAAAATGACCACTTTCCCTGTATATGACCTTATGAGGCTACTTCAAAATGTTTGTGGAAGAAGAAATTAAAAGCTAGATTTATTTTGATGCAAAATCTTCTGCTTTATATAAGGTTTGCTAAGTGCCTTGTAAACACGGCATTTATACATACATACAATGCAATGGAATACCAAACATCTAAGCAACAACCAGCCATGTTTCTCTATACCAGCAGTAAAAACCATAAAAATGAAAGTAAAAAGAAAATTTCATTCATAACATCAAAAGAATTAAATACAATGCACAAATGTACCACAGCATCACACTGCACTCCAAAAAATGTATACTTTAATAATCAAAAAGAAGATAATAAAAGGAATGGTAAACTTGTGCTCTGAAGGTTACAAAACATTTTTGAAAGGAATTTAAAAGATCTAAATTTATGTCAAAACAAGGGTTGGACATTAATATGGCACTTTTCAGAATGACCTACGACTTGATGTAATACCTATTAGAATTCTACCTGATCTCTTGGTGCAAATTATCAAGATGATTCTAGCATTATACAGAATTTTAAGAAGCCTATAAAAGCCCAAATTATGCTGATAAGTAAGTAAGTAAGTAAGTAAGCAGTAAGCAAGTAAGTTTGTGCAGCACTTCAGCTAATGCCTGATCAGTTCCAAAAGCTTTAGGACTTCCCCTCTCCACCTTCTTTTTAATACACTTCATGGAAGGTAGCAGGTAACAGTCTAAGTGTCTGGAAACTTGATTATCAGTTATACACGAAATAAATCATTAATGTCACTACTCTCTCAGTTTTACTTCAAGAGGCAGAATTGCATGAAAATTTATATAAACGATAGTGTACATACACAGAAGGAATGATTTGTGAAATAGTTAACAAGTCAGTTTATCTTACTTTCAGAAATAACTTAAAAAAAAAAAAGAAGTAACTTTAGAAGTCTGGTCTGAGGAGTGAGAGCTTGACTACCCCAGCTGCCTGGCTGTAGCTGGGGAAACTCAAGACAAGCCAGGCTTGAGGCTTGGGATCCTAGCTCCGTTCACCGCTGGCATGCAGTGGACAGATCTTGAGCTAGTCTGGGCTAAAAGGCTCAAGACTTTTCTCTGGCCATGGCCACCATGCTGTGGGTGGATGTCAAGTGGTTCCAGGCATGATCAAGATCCTGGCTCTTTCCACCGCCGTCATGCTATGGGTGAAGCTCAAGTAAGTGTGGGTTGAGCTTCAGGGTCTTAACTCTCCCAATTGCATGACCGCAGATGGGAAAACAGGCTGAGCGGCCTGGGTGTCAAAAGCATCAAGTGAAGCCCTTAGCCCACCTGGTAGTGTGCTTTAGGAATTTGGGGGTGTGGGATTAGAGTCTGAAGGATGGCACAGGTGAGGATGAGCAGGGATTTGAGGTTTCATGTCCAGATGAGGAATGACTTCTCTGGGACTGCAATCTCCTTTGGCATGCATGTGGACTGGGTCTGGGGAGGGCCAGACCGGGCTAGACTCCAGTACCCAGTGGTACTTGTGGAAGTCCATGTGGGTATAACAGGCTGGGCTAGGCCCTGGCTCCAGCTAAACTATGTGGAAGCTGTGTCTGGACATGAACCAGATATGGCTGGGCTGCAACATCCAATAGTAAGAACTGGAATGCCTGTGGGCTGGCTGGGCAAGGATACAGTTCCTGCCAGGACAACAGGTGGACAAAGTCAACCTAGGCCAAAGACCCACTGGAGTGTGCAAGATCTACCACTTGGAGGACGCCAGATAGAGGCGCTTGGTGAACTCCTTTGTGAGGTTGCAGTACCTGCAGGTAAGCACAAGAATCAA